TATGTAATCAAATTTGCCCACAGAACATTTTTGTTTACATGCAAATTGACTAAGTAAGTAAGTTTATTAAATCTCCACCCAGTGGCTCTTCCGATTTAATTTACAATAATTGGAAATCGAATAAAACTACCTATAAAAGTTACAATAATATCATGATAAAGAAACAAATACAAATAAATAACTAACATATTCTTAAAATTCTATACCTAAAAAAGATTCCTACGGACTGTCATATATTTCGCGCTTTACTGCACGCTTGAAAACTGAGAGTGTCGTGCTATTTTTCGTTTCTTCACTTATAAGAGAATTCCAGGCAGTGATTGCTCTATAACTAAAAGGCCTCTGTGCTGTGGCTGTCCTACAAAAGGGTACAACTAAGTTGTCTCTAGATCTAGTATTGTAGCTGAGGATAGCTGATCTTTTGTTGACGTAACACTCTAAATATGGTGGTGCAAGGTCATTGACTATTTTGTACAGCATCGTAACATCACGCACTAATAACTGGTTCTTAATAGAAGGCCAACACAGTGCCCGCAGCACCGGTGAGATGTGATCAAACTTCTTGCTGTTTGTCAACACACGTGCAGCAAAGTTTTGTACAAGTTGCAATTTGTTTATGTTGTGCGCAAACGTTCCAGACCAAACTGTCGAGCATTCAGAATGGTGGTAAGTACTGATTTGGAAAACAAGTGCCTAGCTCTGCTTATCTAGCATAGGGTAGAAATAAGAGACGAGGTCAGGGTGTTAACGTGTTCATTAAAAGTAAGGTTCGAGTCCAATATTATACCCAGGTCTTTGACTGAGGACTCAGGAATTAAGTGTTACCCAAGAAAGGGGACTCTGATATCAGGAACCCCACTTAAAAGCTGTTTCGTTCCAAAAATAATAAGTTTAGTTTTGTCTGGATTAATAAGCAACTTATTCGTACAGCCATCGCCATCGCTCTGACGAAGGGCTAACGCTCGAAACGTCAGCTTTTTTACCCTTGACGGTGGCTAATTTACGTTTTCAACCCAGTTGTTAGCACTAAATTACCTGTTATTCGTACAGCACCAGGAGGCAATAATTCGGAGATCTTCCGAGACTTTTGCAAGGCAGGAGTCAATTTTATTCGATGAACACGAAAGATAAACCTTTGTGTCATCAACATATGACTCTACGCTTGAAAACTTAACAACGGACGGTAGGTCGTTCATGTAAAGGCTGAACATAAGAGGCCCTAGAATGGACCCCTGTGGTACGCCATGTGTGACAGTTAACTCACTAGAGCGAGATGTACCGAGTCATGTTGACTGCATTCGGTTTGTAAGATAGCTCTCAAACCACTTTGACACTTCATTTGACGCACCGGGCCCTTTCAGCTTGGTGAGGAGAATTCTATGACATGCTGTCAAAAGCCTTGCTCAAGTCGATTAGGACCATAGCCGTGATCTCCTTTTCATCCATCGCTTTATATATATGACCGGTGACAAACAAACTCAGTGTTTCAGTAGAATGGTGTTTACGGTTTCCGCTTTGATGACAGGTGAGGTTGCCTTGTTGAGTCAAATAATCAGTGAACTGATTCAGGGCGATATTTCCGGTCACTTTAGAAAGTACAGGTAATAATTAAATAGGGCGATTGTTACTAGGAATCTCGTGATCACCATCTTTAAGATGTGGCACTACTTCCGACTTCTTCCAGGCCTTAGGGAAAACAGAGTTGCTAAAAGAAGAGTGTATCAACGCAGTTAGAGTTGGTAATATATACGGTAATTACGGTTTTTGGAATTCTGTCATAGCCTGGAGCTTTATTAGAAGACATAGCCTTAATCACTTTTCGCACATCTTCACTGCTTATTGCTTTGAAGTCAAACAGTTCATCACAATGAGTTGAACCGAGATAAACAGGAGTAGTTGGTGGGCCGTGAAGGCGAGCGAGCTCCGCAGAGTCATCGGCGGCCTTCTGTCCCACAGATATAAAGAAGCGATTGAATTCATTAGCGAGTGCATCTGTGTCCTTGGTAAAGCTTGGGCGGCCTGATTTATTTGGGAGGGCACTGCGAATAGTTTTCCGCATTTCCCCACTGTTGTTCTTATTTTCACAGATTTGATGATTGTAGTGCTCTCGTTCCGCCTTCCGTAAAACAAATTTAACTCTATTTCGCAGCTCCTTAAAAGCCTCCCAATCTTCCCTCGTCCCAGTCCTTCTCGCTCTTTTGTGAAGGTGGTCTCTCGCCTTCATCAAATCCCTTATGTCCTCCGTGATGAATGGGTTTGGTTTATGTCGTATTTTCACTCTTTTAACCGGAGCATGGTCGTCAAGACACGCCAACAGCAAGTCATTAAATGCATCGAGTCTGTTATCAACGGATTTGTCTATCAGGTTCATAGTATCCCATGGGATGTGCGCGATGTCATTTGCAAACTGATTAGCTTTATAATTCTGAAAACTACGTGTGACAATGAAGGTTGGGGTGATCTTAAGTTAATAACAGCATGAACCAGAAAATGATCACTTATAGTTATTTCAAGAACGCCGCTCGACTTGACAAGGACAGGGTCAGAGACCAAGATGACATCCAATAAGGAGCGTGAGTTCTCAGTCACGCGAGTTGGCTTGTCTATAAGCTGTGTCGCATTTAGTTGCACAAAACGACAACAATGCTTCTCCCCTCAGATTTTTTGAAAGAAGGTCACAGTTTAAGTCGCCTGTTAGCAAAATGTCCTTGTTGCGTGATAAGGCTTCGATGTACTTTGGGAGCAGTTCATTCTCTAGGCATGCAGTTCCAATTTCCGGGGGTCTGTAAACAATACAAACCAGCAATGAACAAAGCTTCTTATTTTGAACTTGAATCCACAACTGGTGTAGGCCGGATTCGGATATTTCCGTGAGATCCTTCAGGACTTTTACCTTCAGAGTAGATTTTACGTAAGCACATACACCGGCACCTGCTTTTCCTAGGCGATCAAGTCTAAAGACCTTGTATCCCTGGATTTCGACAACACTGTTGGTCACGGAAGAGTTTAACTAGGTCTCCGAGATGGTTAAAATATCAAAATCACGTTCCAAGGCTAACTCCTTCGTTTCAGTGAAGTGTTGTCTACATTTGAGAAGCTCTGCGTTAAGATGGGCTATTTCCAAGAGCTTGTTTTGGTTTTTATGCACCGTTGATTGTGCATTCTTTGTCAATTGTATTCTATTACAATTTGCGCTCACGTGTCCAACTGAGTCAGGGATGCGACGAGTCTGTCGATTCCCATGAATAACAGCAATCCTACTGCTAGTGGTATCTGGACCTGGTAATGGATGGATGTCGCCACTTAGTGAAATACACAGTTTCATAAAGTTAAAACCAGCACAAGAGTTAGGATAATATGAAATTCTTTGTTTAAAATATTTTCGCCGGGGATCAGTGAACCGGCACGTTGAGCGACCGCACCGCCAAAGAGGAGCAAAAGGCTCAGGAGTGGTATTTTGAACCCTTACAAAGGATGGCCGTTCACAAGGCAGATTTCCACGGGCGAAGCTAATCCACAACTCATCTGAATTGCTAAAACCTCCAAAAGCATGTCTGGTAGGCAAAGAGTAGATCGAAATAACACTTCTTTCTTGAATATACTGCGCAAAGCCTCTAGAAAACTCCAGTCCACGACGTCCTACAATGTTCCCATAGGTGTTAAGCCCAGTCTGTCTGCATAACGTAGAGCTTGAGATGAGAAAATAGATCAAAAGTGGAGAGCACAAAGGCCGTTTCTAGCAGTCATTTATGCTAATTAGGATCGACTGACTGATATGTCAGTCCAAAAAAAAGGCAAAGGGAAAAAATTATCGGATCCCTTAGTAGTACTCTGCTCTAGTAGAGCTAGATAAAACCAAGTTATTCCGACCGGAAACTAAGGCAGCGGGAAATAAATCTTATATGGAAATTTAAGTGTGTAGAATCGCTGAGTCAGTATTTTTACGAGTTGTGCCGTATTTTGACGATCCCGTTGCGCAAGTCAAAATACAAACAACGATTAATTAAAGTTAAGTTATTTATTATCCAACAGCTCTTTTTTTCTGCTTTCTCATAGGGCGGGGAAAGCAAAGCGAATAAAGAAGCGTAGCGCGCAGCCGACTGGTTCAACAGGTCTTTTTAAAGTACAAAATATCCAAATAACCGCACAATATCGCAGGATATTTGTACTCTATTCGCGCGTTATTTGTACTCTACTTTGTGCAGTTGGATAATAAACGCCAATATTCCCTGGTTTTTTTTTCTGTTTCAACTTCTTTGTATTGATGAGGCCCGACTTTAGCCGCTCTCTAAAATCCGATATTCGTTATACTTTTATACAAACTGTCCAACCTTGAACATTTCCGATAATGTTTTCTCAGCTGTGTTAAAGCTTCGTAATCGTCGCAGACATTACATAGTCTGTCACACAATGACTCACCAGTGTCAGCGTGACAGCAGGGAATTCAGAACTTGTTAGCTAGATTTTAATCTGATATATATTCTTATGTTATAGAGATCTTTCAAGTAACGCGATATCCACTTTGTCATCTAAACAACTTATTGATCTTCCACGGAACTTACGTATACTGTAAGTTTCATATGGGTAACTGTATCTTGTAAGCCGGTTCAATATTTTTCTTTTAAAGTCGAAATCCGTTGGATTTCCACGAAAAAATTAATGTCCCTTTCATTGTTTTATCACGCATGTTTGTTGAATCACAGATTTTCTCGTATCTTTTGTCTATCCTGTCTTTACACAGCTATGAGAAACATAAAAGATGTGTTCTTTCCACAACTGATACTCGGGAAACACGTAAAAGAAGAATTGTACCCAAAAGTTTGTTAAGTAAAGGAATGATTCTAAGTGCTCTTGTGAATAATAGTTGTCTTTTTTTAATCTTCTCGAAGACCTTAAGCTTGCTTTCGTATGGTAAAAGTCCTTACACCACTCCCCACCCCTTTTTTCCCCCATGATTCTATACAGATGTCTCCAGTACCATCTCAATATACACTTGTACCATGTACAAGCCAAGAGTATTCCCTGTCATGTTTCCATGGAATATTTTTGCTTTTGTTTTAAGGTACCTGTTGGACAATCCAATAGATTGTAAAGACGCAATTCTGAAGCAACTGGCAGCTTCTATTACTCTTAAGTCCAACTGCGGCCAAATATCGAATGTTGCAGTGGAAAGTGACTTGCATTTTCCTCACTCGGAAGGTAAGCTTAGCTCTAATAAAAGGTCAGTGTCCTCTACCCTTAGGAGGGAAAAGGAAGGAGCTCCTTGCCTTCTTGTATGGTTAATTTGCTTCAGTCTTAAGTTCATCATTGCCTTGTTCTTGCATGTATGCATCTTAATCGATGCTGAACGGTTTTTCATTATTCTCGTTTTTTAACTAATGTTTCTCTTAATGATATCTCTTCTCAACAGAATCAAAAATAGGAAGTCGTATGAAAAGATCTGTGGCAAGTAAGTTGTTTAACATACGGTAGTCGGTAATAGACAATACAAAAACTGCTTTCCTACAAGTCGAGGTGCGTTCAGTGATCTGTGGGCATGACTAACACGTAGCGTGTCACCATGCATGCCTACTCACAAATCCACAAGGTGTCCAAATCATCCTTTTTTTTCCCGATACTTCCAACAAGATCACGTTCTCGGATCACACAAGTCAAAACACTTTTCAATGGTTCAGAAAATGCTCTTATCTTTTCTACGAATTGATCGTTTTATACTAAAATTGAGAAAGACAAAATCAAGTTAATATTTTCAAAATATTTTAGAATACTTTCATTAACTTTTTTATTCAATGTTGTTGACAAGGTGCAATTTTGAAGAGAGATTCTATTTTGAACTCTGTAACCTACATATATATGCAGTCGTAATTGCTAATCATACAATAAGTAGATTTACCGTATCGCGATACTATAACATTGAGTATAATCACAGTTATGAGGAGCAGAATGGTGACATTGTTACTTTTTCTATTATCGTAGTGGAACATCACACACTGCATCATTTTTGTTGATCTTTCAACGCAGGTTGCCAGGCGGGATCAGGAAATTGTGTGAATTACACGTGTAGAGGAATCGATCACTGGTTGCCGTTTCAGACTTATTGGGGATGCTGTAAGGGTGTTATCCATGATCAGCGCGAGACCTACTGCTCAGAAATACAAGGCGTTTTGCAATGCGGCACGGTAGCTCCAGCGTTTAGATGCAGGAATGAACACTGTATACCAAATCCATGGTTGTGTAACAGAGTGAACGACTGTCAAGATGGAAGTGATGAAATTGGATGTGATGAGTGTAGTAAAACTGATGAGTTTCGATGCTGGAATGGGAGATGTATTCCTCAATCAGCCGTTTGTGACGCGTATAACGACTGTGGAGACGGAAGCGACGAAACTTCTTGCCGAACTTTGCGCGGTGGCTGGTGCACCACAAAACAGTACAGATGCCCCACCGATAGTTGTGTTCCACTGCAAAATGTGTGCGATGGCAAAGCAGACTGCACTGACAACTCTGACGAAATTGGGTGCATAGTTCGTAAGTACCGACAAAACGTACTTTATTTAATGTAACCGTCAAATGTTGGGCAGCGTAAGTGGATCAATTTTAGCTGCCCGCGCGCCAATTTCCGCCAAAAATTTAAAGGAATGCAATAAGGAACGACGGCTCATGGAAGATTTACAAAAATCTTATTGAAACGTTCAAGTAAATTTCTCAAGGAAACAAAATTAGGTTAAAGGGAGATTGGAACTTTTTATATTCGAAACTTTTTATATTCGAAACTTTTTTTAAACAAAGGGTACCCTGTTGATTTACCATTTTGTCATGAGTTTTATCAAAAAAGTTGAACGTTTTCAAAACACGTTTATTGTAGCTTGTAACAATGGATGGAAACATTATCAGTCATCTTGTTATAAGTACTCAAACCATCACAGTAGATGGACTGATGCTGAAGATCTTTGCCAGAGGGACGGAGCGCATCTCGCGAAAATTACCAGCAGGAAAGAACAAGATTTTGTCTTTAGCCTTGGTGTTCATCAACCTTTTCAAATCTGGATCGGTTTGCGGGCGCAAGGACCTTCAGGAAAATTCACTTGGGCAGACGGATCGCCACTTGGCAATTTTACTTTCTGGTCAGCGGGTGAGCCCTCTCCAGGTCCTGACGTTTGTGCGGAAATAATTCGTAATGATAGTCAAGGGCAGTGGCGAACTGGCCAGTGTACAACGAGACACAGTTCATATGTGTGTGAGAAAGGTCTGAGTAACTAAAGTATGTTTATACAGTCATACGGAATATCTAGAAATGCTATAAATATAAAAAGTGTCCATTGAAAACATATTTTGATTTTACTATTGCTAGATCGCAATACATTTTGATAACAAATGGCTGCAGAAAAAAATTCAGATTTCAGAGAGCCCGCTCCCAATCCCAAGGTATCCGCTAAAAAGATATTTCTTGCGTTGCAGAGAGAGTATGTAACATCACGGGAGCAAGTGGTGATTACAAGACTGATTTTGGTGAGTTTGATAACATTGCTACAAAGTATTTAAAACTTTCGGTCAATCAAAAGGGAGCCCAAACCAAGTTAAAGTGTATCAACCTTACACGAAACCTTACAGATAACATGAAACGGGATACTACTGTAAATGCCTCTTTTTCTTCTTCTTCCTCTTCTTCTAGTAGGTCTTTTGATCGACGGTAAAGTTCTCAAGCTTAGTATAAGATCAAGCCCACATTAGCAACATTTATTTGCCATTGCGTTGCTCCATATTCTCCTGACTTCATAAAATTTAATTGTGCATGTGAACCCTTTGGTAGGAAAAAGTAATATCAAATTACTATGGTACAGGACCCCACTATTGAAAAGTCATACCTGCTAGATCTGCTCCAACTTATCTTTAAAAAGTAAACTATAACTTACCAATTGTAAACTGCACTCGACGTTTATTTATTTTGATGTTGTGCTGCTTCTTTAAAGAAACACCGACGCTCATGAAGTCTTTCCCACGCGAAGAGATCATCTTAGCACAGTATGAAACTAGCGTGACGGTGCAATGCGAAGCATCTGGCTTTCCGAGACCCACAGTCACGTTTCTTATTAACGGAGTAAATTCGTACGCTGTGAACAAGGGTCACACAATCATGGAACCTTACAAAACAACTGTCACGTATGTTGTGACAATGCCGTCTGACGTGGAATGTCACGCCTCCAACAAAATGGGTAACACCTTTTGGAGAATAAAAGTCAATTTAAAAGGTAAATTATTTAATAAAAAGTTCAAAAGCCGTATGTGAAATAGGTATATGTTTAGAGTTCACCATTTTAGTATCAGTTTGTAAGGAAACTCTTTAAAAAGTCTTCATGAGAAAGGAATCGTGGTATGGAGAAATCAGATTTTTCCGATGGATTGAAATATGTTGTGTACGTTTTCCACCGTGTGATTTTTGAGCGATGATCAACATAATTCAAAGCGAACATGATTTTCAATATTTTTTTTTTGACAGATGATGATCTGTCATTTCTCAGAGCTGTTTTAAGACTGACGGATGAGACTTTCACGTCTGACCTCAAGGATCCTTTGTCTGCAAAATTCAAGACACTGTCAGCCTGGCTGGAGAATATTCTTATGTCTTTATACGCAGAAGTCCATGGTTTCAGAGATGTAGAAGTTGTAAGATTCAGGTAATTTCAGCACAAATTTAGATCTTAGTTTTTGAAACTCGGTTATAGCATGCTGTATGATAAAGATTTTTCCATCTTATATAACTTGGCCTATCATTGTAGAAACAGAAGTGTCGTGGTAGATGTGCTCCTGTCTACCGCGAAAGGAGGTTCGTCAGTTGTTCAAAACAAACTCCTTGAAGTTATGGGATCAAATCAATTACAAAATGTTACAATTGACTCGTTTGGCGTCGTTAAAGGTAAGCTATATCTATTTTTTCGAGGATTGAGAAATTAGACAGAAATCTTTTTATTTGGGAAAGTGAAACTTTGCAACTTTCTCTGTTGTTGTTGTTGTTTTGCAAGGTTAACAGCGCCTTCTCCATTTAGGAGAAGGAAGATGTAGAATTCGGTTTCAAGCTTGAAGTAAAGATAGTTGGATAATGGTCACCTTTGAGTTTCTTAACAGCACCGAACGAGAACGAGTCTAATATGCACCGATCTTCACTTCATACCTGGTTAATTTAGGATCTATTATATTTCCAAACAGTGGCTTTTGTAGGGGCAATACTGTGACAGAAAAGGTCCATTTAGGCCCTTGCTGGGTAGCCAATAGAAATGCTAGCTGTAGGATCCCCTCGTCTTAATTCAGCCTCCAGGGTCAGACACTTTATAAAGATGGTTTTGAAAGCACTGTACTTACACGTTTTTCTTCAGCGTGTCCAAAAGAATTTTTAAACGTATCTTGGAGTGGAACTTTTGAGGGAGAGTTTGCCACGCAGAACTGTCCCAGAGGAGCAGCGGGTGAGTCAAATAGCGGCAAAATCAGTGGAATCATTCAGAAAGCGTCAAGGGAGTATTAGAAAGACACCTAGTTTAACCAGAGCGTTTAACCCAACAAAAGCGGTTTACCCTGAATTCGGTTCAGAAGAGAATCCCACACGACATTAACAGACATCTTATTTGATGATTTGAAAATAGTGACACTTGGGTGAACTCGTGGATATACAGTGCAGAATATAAGTCAAGTTATATCGACACGGATTACTCGTTCCCATGCTTCGCATATCCACGAGTTAAAAAGTAGAACTTCCCTTTTCAGACACTTCTATCCATGGAACAGTTTGCCTATGCTTGGCCTGAGGGCATCTCTTGAGTGGAGGTTTCACTTTAAGAGACATACTGTCAGTTTAATTCGGTGTTTCAAGGTTTCTTATGTCGACGATAAATGTCTCTTCCGTCCTACTTTAGGTGTGGCCAAAAGGAAATGCTTAAACGACGGTGTGTGGGGGTACCCTGACTACGGGGAGTGTATCAGTCAAGAATTCAATCAACTACAAGAAAAGGTCTTGATTTTTTAACATTGTCTAAGTGGCTGAACTGTGGCATTTTGGTCAATATTGTTTCAGCCTATCATCAATGAACTCCACTCTTCAACGTAGAAGCTTAGTAGCCTTCTGTCAGAAAACCCACAGCAACAATCGGCTGCATTTGTAAACACATTTTATCATTTACTCATAGGATGACCATTTTTGTTACCCACATGGTAGATAAAAAAGAACTAGGAGGATTTTCGATCAATCTTAAAAATAGATGCATTCATGCTAGAGACGTTAAAGTTGTCTAAGACGTTAAAGTCGTTTCGAGATGAAATAACTGGTATTAGCATAAAAAACGGCCACTGCCTATCGGTATGAACGCTGATGAAATCGGGCCAATATTTCTTGAATATAATCCGATTTAATCCTATCTGATTTTTCCGGTTATTTCCCTCTGCGGTTTCCAGTACTTAACTAAGACTTTGTGCAGTTTTAGGAGAAATATTGCTACATTTTAGCCGCATCCATTATAATTGGTCATCCCCTTTGAATTTCCGAAATTTTCATTTAACTCCAAAACAAAACAATAGAGGGATCATTTCCTCCCTTAGTATCGTTCAATAGGGCTCCGATTTAAGTGTCTATGCAGCCACAACATTTACATAATCTTAAATATTTAAAAGATATCATTACCTTCTCTCTAAACACTTTCAAAGATCTTATGCCTTTTATCTCCTTTCGTTAGATGAATGGTTTGTTCAACCCATCAAATCTCTCCAACGAAAATATCACAGCTATTATCACAGAGCTGTCTTCCCTAACTCAACCAGAGAAATACGATTCCTTGATGGCTGGAAATATCAAGGCATCGACGCAGATTTTAAAAAATGTGGTCTTTTACAACGAAAAGTTTGCTAACAGTCGTGAGACAGTGTCAGCAAACATTGAAGTAAGAGAACAAAGTTTTTTTGATTTGTTTCCAAAGTCAGTCTCGATTGTTAGATGGTGCAACTTTGTTGATGTTCTTTAACAGATAGACCTGAACAAGACTCAAATCCCACTTTTCTAGTCTAAGCGCATTT